TTTCATAAATACAAGGTTTTTCGGTATTAGTTTACATCAAGACCACATTAAGAACTGACAACAAACAATATAAACTGTAAAAAGGTGTATTGAGACTGTGGCAATCAAATCCCATTCCAAATCAACATTTGTATCAAAATCTGATGACAGTTGTTGGGTTACTGGGAAGGCCTCATTACAGCACCATGGGCCCCGGGGGGCTACGACTTTTTCAAGTCAAATGTTAACAATATCTTGACACTAAACATGTGAGCAAATTATCAAAACCATTTTAACTTTGAAGAATGAAGTAAACAATGTGGAGTAATTATTTCAACATGTTTAACATCTTGACTCTTTTTAACAACATTTTTTTGTCAATGGTTTTATTCAGCTCATAAGGATTGTTACTCCTTGGATGTATTACAGACCATGAATTTACCATGTTTCTTCACTATGTGTTTAACTTGAAACAAGCTGTGAGTGTGTTCGAAACCGCAAACTAACATACTGTGTACTACATACTCAATCGGTATGCATACACACACACAAACACACTGTCTGTACATCCACATCCCCCAAGTTACCTGGTGCAGCATTCAGGTCGTGCAACATGTGTGCGGTCCTTTGCCATCTCCAGTGACACAAAGACAAATAGAATACTGGGTCATGTGTTGTAGAGGAACAGTACACACTGCCGCCTCCAGACATCCAGACCTCGAGGACAAGCAGACAGATGTACCAACAGACTAACAGACAGAGCGGTGCCAGGATTCAAAACTCCACCGTCTTTTGTACAACAGAAGGACAGGATCTGCTAGTCCACAAATGGAGTGTGCACGTGTAGAGCAGGATAACCGCCTTATGTGGCTCAGCGATATACAAAAAACCTGGAGATCCGCACATAGAGCCAGAAGAAATCATTGCATCCAAACACACACAAAACACACACAGTGTGATTTATATTGTGTACTGCATCTGGAGATAATTCAGAAAGGGTTAGGAAAATCAGGTCCCGCGCTGTTCTCTTATACCTCCAACACCTATTCTGCCATGGCTGGTGCTCAGAAAATGCAATCTGTCTGTGTCACATGCCCCATCAGACACATTGTTACATATGTATGGTATTTGTTCCTTAAACCATTGTTTTATTTGGAAGAATATAAACATGGCTCTAATTTTAAGTTTGTCTGAATTTGCACTCCAAACAGGTCCTGTTTACTCCACAGTGACTTTATGTTTTCTTAATAGCATTTTTTTTTAAAGAAATACGAACAAAACCAACATAAAAACCCGATAAAGCCAAATTTGCATATCATAAACCTGTTGTACTGAAACCAGCTCACAGCAAAAAATAAAAATACTGAGCTAACAGAAAATGCTCCTTTGGCTGCTTGTGAGGAAGCAATGATGCCATGTTAGCCTTTAAATCAGCTGAGTTGGCTGACCTTTTGGGGCTATGCAACAGATACATGGAACTACTTAGCATAAAGTGTTGCGAATTAGACCTTTTCTATTTTTTTTTTAACTCTGTTTTTTTTTCAGTCTGTTGCAATTTTTGACAGTCGTCATCTTCAGTCACAGAAGAAAGCTGTGCATCAAATTCTGCTTTTTTCCAGCCCAAAGGCTCTCTGTATGGAGGAATGGATGTAAATCATATTTAACGTCACATTGAGTTATTCCCCACATGAGTAGCCAGAAGGTTAAGTAGATCGTATACAGTGTTTTGACTTCAAACAAATATTTAATTTTATCTCGCGAGTTCTGTGCTCTATAGTTGGGTGTAAGAGCTTCTAGCTCATTGGGATCTCCAGATAACTTGGTGATAGGGTGCTCATTTAGAATGGCTTAGACCTCGACTCCAGTACTGGTAATCCAGTATTTCATCAGCAATTTGGAGATAACATGCTTTCTTCCACCATGACCCACCTGTTTGTGAATGTGCTTAAAAAAGGGGTTTATGATGGAAAAAGCAGAACTAGCAAAACTCACAGGAGAAAAGCAGCTTATCTTTTCTTTTTTACTCCCTCACTCTTCTTATTTCATACTCATTCTCCTGGTTCCCATGGTAGTGTTGTGTTTTCATGAGCACCTGACTCACGGCAGCTCTCTGGGCTGTGGGGGAGTTATCATTGAGCCAAGCCAGATGCCCTCTCTCTAGGTAGCTGGCTGCTTTCAGTACTGTACCTCTTCTGCCTCTTCCCACACAAACTGTCCGCTGGGCTCCTTACACAGACACATCGTAGAGCCACATTGTGTGTCTTCATTTCTTTTAACAATGATAAAAACAGCAGGCCTCGGGCGTCTCCACTAGGTTTTTGTGTGCCTGCTATTATCAAGTCAATGACTCAAGGTAGAAAGCCGACACCGGCAACGTCTCTTTGGCTTCTTTGGCTTGTGGTACCTTAAATAAAGTATTCCAGCTACTGATCCCCTTTGTGCAACACTCACCTGTGTTCTTCCTTTTTCTTGCATTTTTCACCTTGTTATGAAATGGAAATGTGTATTAGACATACAATTGCAGAGTATGCGACATCCTCAAGTGATTTATCAGATGATCATGACTTCGAAGTAGAAAACAACTGCTTTAAAGTAAGGCGCTGCACTGCCGGCTGAGTGCACTGTGCAGAGAGCAGATGGTGTAATGAGATATACTGTAATAACAATCACACTGTCAGAGCTTCTGCCTGCATGAGACTGCACTTACACAGTGGCACGGCAATCATCACGGGCCATGTATTTTTCTATGAAATCGCTGCTTTGTAAAATTACAACCAGTGCATTCAGGGTCGTAGTGTGGGGTCTCCCTGAAATTTCAAAGCAATGCATTTCAAATGAATCTTCTTGTTTGGTGTGGCCACAGGCTCATTTGGTCATGATAACATGCATGAATGGGCTCGCAGGGCTCAGTTGGTACACTACGATGTGATCAGTGCAGGCTGGGAGAGCAATTCACAGGGGAACTACCTAGGCTAGAAATATGTAGCTCACTGTACCACAAGACTCTTTGGTGAACTGTAGCCTACTGTACTTCCTTGTGTGGCATCCTGAATCTAACCGTGTGGGGGTTCAACGGTGTGCTTACGGTACAATAGATTCTCCTGAAGAGTCTGACCTGATTTTCAGTTGGCACTTAACAGACCCTCAGATTCACACAAATCCTGTTCAATTATTTAAGTCCCTGTTGTGTCAAGGAAGTGAACACAGCACATCAAGCGTCACGTGGGTTCTTTCTTTAAATACTTCCCCTGTGTTGTCGGGAAAACAAATGCATAAGTACAGCTAGTTTAAATACAATGACCCATTACAAATTTGGAAAAGAAAGTACAGGTGGGGTGCTCTAACTCACACAGGCTACACCCTCTGCTTGACTACAGGGCCTACATTATAAGGAAGTAGGTGAGCTACGGCAGTAAACTTTAGTCAGTCAGGATCAGTGTAGATAGATCAATGTTATGTTGCGGCACAGTGTGCATTCATCGGGCTCCAACCACTAAAGAGTACTGAGCCTGTGTGAGTTAGAACGAAGGTCACAGTATTGACACCCTGGTTCTATAAGTACAGGCGGAGCCCTCTACAAATGGGGCCGCTCGCTGAAGATGTAGAACGGGTTAGCAGCGGGTTGTGCTGCCTGCGGGTCATATTGTAGTGCTGATTGGCCAGCTACACTTTGGCAAAATTTCAGTTGGCAAATGCTTACTCATGATTGGAGGAGAGTATTATCGATAGAGTTCAGTAGAGGGCTCTGCCTGTTATTATAGAACTAGGGTTATAATACCGTAACCTTAGTTTTAGGTGTTTGTACATCGGAGTAGAAATATGTGAAGCGTGTTTGCTTTTTTAAACATGTCTGAATGCATGAGGAGGGGGGGGAAAGGATGTTTTTCAGTATGAGACAATACCTCCTCCACATATAATGGATATCTCAGAACTGAAATGATGAGCTTTAACCAAGCTGAAAGGAATGTTTTGTTCATCAGATTGGCTTTCAGTGGCAAGTAAATCAATTAGAACCAACAACTGACAAGTCTAGAGAACTGCATACGAGGCTAGGTTTATGATCGTGGTCTGTGGTCGCAAACAGGATTACTCGCCATATCAGCACTATGCAGGAAAAACACACAGATTTAGTCAGAACAGAACACAGCTGAGCTAATGTACAATAGAATAGTTAGTATACTGTAGTAAAACCCCCTCTTCATGGTAATAAGTTCTGCTAGTAGCAGACACCGAGACAGTTCATCCATCTTTCCTCTTTCTTACAGTCTGACCTTGAAGAGAAGGTCTACATCACTATTGAACGATACGACACTGCGTTCAGCTGAGCATCACCTTTTACCTTAGTGAAAAAACACAATCACACCAGAACATCAGGAATATAGTTCAATAAGTAAGCTCTTACTATAATTATTATTAGTACTAATATTGGTAGTAGTAGTAGTAGTAGGAGAAGTAAGAGTAGTAGGAGTATATATAATGCATTTCCTGTGCATCCCTATGATTGAAAGCACAAGAATGTCTACTGCTAATGCTGTTCCACCACATGAGTCGACCTCATATGAGAGAGTTTATAAATGCCAAGGGCACAACTCCATTCATGTCAACACTAATAGAAGGCCGTGCGAGTAGAAGCCATCATTAACATCTGTCGAGAGCAGCAATTGTATGTTAGTCATTCTCAATTATAAGCATCGTGCAAGTTTCTGGTCTTCCAGATGTTCCCTGACACATGTGCTTGTGCTAGCTTTGCTGTTACCATTACACCAAGCACTTTAAGATGGGCTGCTGCATGGCTGCACCATGTGCAGTGCAGTACATTACCTACTGTATAATGTGCAGGCAATAGAGGCTCTCTGCCATCTTGTGGTGTACAGTGATATTAAAATGAATGGTAAAACTGCAGCTCAATGTAGGTTCACTCTGGTAATTGAATGCACGTGTAGTGATTTCTATAAAGTGAATGTGTGCCTGTTCAATAATCCATGTGAACATATATGAGAATCAAATGCCATTCATTTTGATTTCCTTATAATTAAAAATTTATTTCACTCTGTACATTACAAAATATCCAGTGGTACCATTTACTGGTGTTGTTTCAGAAAAAAAAAGAAGATTGAATAAATTAAAAATCCAAAACAACTGTAACCAAAACTCTGACAAATGGGCAAAATACAAGTCGTATTTCCAGTCCAAGAAATTAAAAGTAAAGAATCTAATCCTGTGCAAATTAGGTTTAGGTTTGTGATTAATTCATTTTTCATTTATTGTAAAATGTACATTGACAGTGAAGTTCACAAAAAAACATAGATTCTAACACACCTCTTTACCGTAAAACAGATTCTGACTTGATACAACTGAAGATGAATTTCAAACCAGTTTGAGTGAGAAATAATGTAGTTTGATTACTTTTGCAGCTCAATGATATGCATTAATCTCAACAAAACCAACATTTGAAGCCCACACTATCACATGGCATGAAAAACAACATCAAGGCATTGAATTATCAAAAACGCTGACTTAATCTGACGTAACTTTGCCCATCACAAACAAGACAACTGGGTTGTCACATGAATAGTGTCGCGCAAACTCACTTTGAAAGTCGTGATTCAAAACCCATAAAAATTAGAAAAGTTTAAATGCTATGCAAAATGCTGAGTCATGTTAACAAAGGTTGTTAAGAAATTGAAAGAAAAGCTATTTAAAAAGCAGTTTAATCATCTTTTCATGTCTTTCAATTTGACAGAATGTAAGGCGCCAGGGAGATAAACATTCTTCAGAGCCAGACCTGTGACTCTCATGTCACCACGTGGTGACTCAATGCACCACTCGCGCATCCCACTGCAGAAGGCACATTAAGATCTAATTTGGTTGGGATGACCCAAAACAAGTGTGTGAATCATAAATGCGGGTGAAGGTACAAAATAGCTCCAGAATCCTCCAGTCTTTTTAAGGCTTCCGCTTCATGATTGAGGTCATGATAAGAATTCTGCAAAAGAAAGAGACACTGTATGTCAAAACAGAGACTACATTTGAGGTACTACGGATGACCGGCGCTTACCCACCTTCATGGACTTCATGGTGTCATATCCGTAGTAATGGATAGGCACCCTTTGGCTGTTTGTCTTGGGGTATCCAAAGCCAGCAATGTGGACCACATCACAGTAGTTGAGAGCAACAAACACAGCGAGGATACCCGTGGTAGGATGCACTGGCTGCTGAAACAAACAAAGATAATGAGTGCACCGTGGTATGGCATCAAAAAAGATCCTAACAGACAGCTCTCAAAGAAAGGAACACAAACACTGCACCAAATTTCACTGTAATCATACAGTACACACATAACATTGAAAACCACAGATGTGTGTCACTGAGTATGGTGTGTTAAATAAAAGAGGTGCTAAAATCTATATGCACTCAATTCACCTTTGCTAGTCAAATAAAAGAGGTTGTGAAATTAGCAATTTATGTAAAAAAGCAAAATGCTAATTGCGCATCTGTTGTGTAGTGAAAGCTAGAGCATGCAAGAATACCATGACTCAACTGCAGCCTCTCATCCCACCACTAGGTGGAGAAAGAGGGCAACAGAAACTTGCGAGCCCTGACCTTCACTTGCAGTTCATTGCAAGTCTTCCCCATCTGGATAATACCATCAAATGACCTCAGCATTAATCGTTGTGAACATGTTTTGATGACGTGTCGCTCTTGTTCCGACGGAGGGTGAATGCACTTATTCTCTTAGTTGCTTTGAAATGAAACATCTGCCAAAATGACTGTTGTGTAATGTAAAACATGAAGTGAAACAAAACAACACTTTAAAGGAGCATTCTGAAATTTGCAATACTGGGATTAAACTTGCCAGGTAGACCTATTCAAAGTATTCACATTTTATTTAAAACAAAGATAATCCTCATATTGTCTCGCAGCTTTCTTTTCAGAGACAAGGTAACAAACAATGGGTAAAATAAACTGCTAAAACACAACATATGCAGTGCAATCACAGCTTCCTAAATGTGTTGCATGAATAAAGAGTTAATTCACATAAGCTCACACCCTGCAAACTGGGTCTTACCCAGCGGCTTACTCACTATCTTACAAGTCCCTTCTGGAGAAAAGCACTCTTGGTGCCAGTAACAACTAACAACTTCAGGCATATTTACCACACAAGATTGTTGAGCAACATACTTGAGAAATAGTTTTACCTTCAGCTATGTTTTTAATGTATTAATGTTTTGAAAATTTGAACAGGAACTTGGCTCAGAGGCAATGTGCTCACTGACAGTTTTATTGAAACAAAAACATCAGATAAAAAAAGAAAAAAAGAAGAAAACACATTCTGGTGTATTCTGGTGCTTTTTACAGAGCATGTTTGTTTCATTGTTTATTGATTTATTTTCTTTGTGTGGCTGCTACTTCGCTGCTTGTATGCTCTATCCACAGCAAACATAGTATATGTGTCCATGCAGGTGAAAACCTGTTTTCTGCAACATTTAAAAATGTTGTTTTCGAGGAAGTCCTCTAACATAAAAACATGGATATCAACAGAAAATATAAATAATATATCTTAGTAAATACATTTAAATTATAAACAACATCAAAATAATTAACATAAAAACACGTATAAGCAAACAAGGCTCTCACACAATACCAAACCACATCCGCTATATCTCTATGACAACAATATTCTGCCAATAAAAGACCGAGGGGTTTAGGACGCCAACCATTAATCGCAACAACTACGTCAGTGAACTTTGTTGCAGGATGTGGTTTCCTACATCTCTCTCCCCTCCTTTCCTGTCATAAAGGCCCCCACAATACTGAAAGTCATTTTGGTTAGTTGAATGAACGTTTTACAGGCCTTTCTACAATTTATAAGGATAATTATCTCAAAAAGCTGCAGTCAAGAACAAAATTAATTGAGTGAACAAATCACACCAATTAAATCCATTCGTCGGCTGCCTGTGTGCAATGAAACTGGTTTTAAAGCACTTTAAATCAATGCAAGGTCCTATTGCTGAAAATGTAATGTCCCAGACACATCAACACATTCAGACGACTCTGATGTTGAATGCTTTATTAAAGGTATTCATGATATGATAATGATCAACAGAAAATGTCTTCATTGACGAAGTAATGATTTGTATTATTGGTACAATAAACATACGCTGATATATGGGGACTTCCTAGAGATACCCAGAGCTCCTTTCTCCTCTTCTCTCTCTCCTTCTGTATGAAGTAATTTCCCATTCATGCACATTACTAACCGAACTCCCGGATAATTTATGTCATAGCATTGAATGTGTTGTAACTCTATTATGATATATTCTGTACACATGACATCTATTGCACTTCTGTCCATCCTGGGAGAGGGATCCCTCCTCTGTCTCCCTAAGGTTTCTTCCTTTTCTTTCTCCCTGTTAAAGAGTTTTTCCTGTACCAATGTGAGGGTCCTGGGACAGAGGATGTCGTATGTGTACAGAGTGTAAAGCCCTTTGAGGCAAATTTGTGATTTCGGCCAATTCAAAATAAATTTAATTGAAAATAAAATTGAATATCACTGATATACAATTTCATTCATGCTATTTTCCAAAGCAACTGTCAGAATAAGCCCTGATGATATTAGGCTACACCTTAACACAAACACATTTCATACTAATCACAGGGCATCCTGTGAAAACAAAAGTGCCACAACATATTTTTCTGAAGTTGTGATCTGCCTTTGCTGAAAACATAAAATCAACTGACCACACTGGTATCTTTTAAAAAATAAAAAATAATGTGAAAGTTAATGAGTTGAGACATGTTGGGTGTGTTGCCCCTGGCTAGCTTTTACTGTGTACAGAGATTTCCCTATGTCATTTGCCATTTCCCATACAACCCTGTCAATGATTATCCATGTTCACAGAGGCAAGAAGGAGAATCACTTCCGCATGACCGAGAGATAGAAGAAACTCTCTCTTTCCATCCCTCTCCAAAATGTGCACGCTTTCCCCAAAAGCCTTTTCACATCTCCCTTCTCTACAGCTTTCCATGTTATCATCAAGTTCCGTCTCTGAGAGCCCTGCAAGTACATCTCTATTGCACATGCCAGTGTTGACCATGGCCTGCTAAATTATTAAAATGTTAATATCATCTGCATGATTTTTAGACACCATGCTACCCAGTTGCAAAGAAAGGTTCCACTTATACTGTTTGTTCACAAATAACAGAACAGCAGGCTCTCCATACTTTTTTCTATTTAAAGGAATAGTTTGACACTTTGAGAATATTTAATTGCCTTCTTGATGATAGGATAAATGCCACTCTCTCTGTTTGATACGAAGCTACCATCAGCAGCCAGTTAGCTTAGATTAGCATAATAACTGTAAACGGTTCGTTGGCTGGCTCTGTCAAAAACAAAATCCTGAGCACCTCTGAAGCTCACCAATGAGAATGTCATATCTCTGTTAAATTCATACAAAAAACAAAATGACAAGATGTGCTTTTACGTTATGTAAGGGACCATTTCTTGTGACTTCCTCAATCCTCTGCTGGTTGCCTGAGAACCTCAAAGTCACTGTTGGTAGGTAGATCTTTAACCGTTGGAAGGTACCAGGCTAACTATTTCCCCCTGTTTCCAGCTGTCTGTAGCTTCATAGTCAGCGGACAGATACAAGGTTTATCTCGTCTAATTCTCACGAAGACAGCAAATGAGCGTATATGAAGTATGTGTGTGTGTTTTTACTAAACCACAGCACTGTGCCTATTGTTCCCATAGAGGTGTAAACAGCTCAGACCTAAGTGTGCAAAAATAAGTTTTTCTTAGCTCTTCAGTCACAGCTGTCTAATAGGAGATAAGCTCTTTACAACTGAAAGAGCACATTTCTATATGGCAGTGTGTGTTAATATATGTGTGTGTGTGTGTGTTTTACTGGGCTTAAGTGCACTTGTGTTAAATTTAAACCAAATTGAAACACATATGAGTTCAACTGCAGTGATACAGAAGGGGATCTGACCATGACAGCCTCGATAAGAAACTGTAACACGGCGTCTTTCCTCTCTAAAACATTAAACCAGATCAATTTGCTGTTGCACTGAGCACGACTGTCTTCAATTCAGAAAATGACCTGCAACCTGCAATGGGACACAGCTGACACTCTGTGTGTATTAGCCTCATGTGGTCGCCAGCACACAGGCGAACACCGGAGCTCTGCAGTGGCCCGGCACATAGTTTGGACGTAGGCCCATGGAGCCTTGGTGAGAGGGGAGGAGAGGGAGGGGCTGCATACTGTCACCGCTGCAAGCCTGACCTACAAGAGCTGAACACAGGCTTGTGTTTGGGGAGACGGGTGTGAACATAAGAGTTACGTGTGTGTGCGTGTGTGTGTGTGTATGTGTGCGTGTGTGCCTGCAATGCAAAAAGGAAAGGAAGGACAAGGGGGAGAAGTGGCTGCCTGTGTGAGAGTATCAGGTTGTGCCTGCCTGTGTTTTGAGGGGGTCCTTGTCTATTTGCAAGGGTCATTAGCGGAGGGAGGTCTGCTGCAGTCAGGACTCCTGATGGTATTAGGAATACCCCGAGGACCGGTAAGAGGAAAGAGACAGACGAAGACAAGATAGATTGAAGATAGTGAGAGAAATCTAGGTTCCCTTTAAATGCATTAAATCAGAGAACAAATTATATTTTAAGAACAAATGTATATGTTTGCAGCCATGAATAAAGCTCAGATGAGTTTCAGATGTTTTAATACTGTTGGAGCAAACAAACAACCCGGTTCTGCCTATTGTTTCTCCTCCTCTTCCTACCCGCCATCTTCTCCCCCCCGGGCTTTTTTCATAGAGTCTGTGCAGATGGTGCAGAGCTCCTGTCGCTTGAGCCCGCTGAGGATTGCTGCCTTCCCACTGCTCACCCTTCTCATGCCCCAGCCAGTGGTGTTTGTACTGCAGTCCAAACGGGTAACCCCCCCCCAGTATTCTTTATTTGACAAAAAAAGGGCTCAGGAGTGGCAAACGAGCAGAACCGAAACGAAACTTGGCTCTTGCCCACATCAGACACGATCCCTACCGAGCACACAACAAGCCCCACTTGGCAGACGGGATGCAATGGGCAAATCAAAACTTCAGTCAGATCCCAGGCTGTTTACAAATCCAATCACCTCGGCCAAAGAGTAGGAGTTCAATTTGTGAAAGACAAACAGATCAATGGTCCATCCCGAAAAAATGTCATGTTTTCTCATTGCACAATCGCTGCTCCCCAGTCACAGTTTCATGAGTTAGCATATGATTGTGTTTCCTCTGTCACTGTCAACGCAGTATTTTCTTCCGGAGAAAAGATAAATAATCAGCTTTGCAGAGACGGAACACTGGGAGCTGTCCGTTTTCTTCTAAAAACAGAGCATTTGGTTGAAATCTATACAATATGTTGGCTTTTCTTCAAAAGCCAATTATTTTCCGAGCAATTCACCGCGCAGCCTAGAAGACACAAGGAGCTTATCTTGCAATGAGAAACCAGAATGCCAAGTAGAAGCTAATCTGCATCATGTTTTGCAGTAATTGCATCCCCAAAATTGCTATTGACCCGGCTACATTTCAAGAGAAATGCCTCTCTCAGTAAACTGTTTATCACAGCGCTCAAGAGATATCATTCGAGGAGCTGTGGCTAATGAGTGGATGCTCCATCCAGCCTTGTTAACATTCATGTGGGGAGTGGTGAAGGGCAAAAGGGGACAGAAGGGAGGTACGAGAGAAAGGGAACAAACAAGAGAGAGGATTCTAGTGGGACAATTCTTTTGAGGTTGACAGAAAAAAGGTCATGAGTTGCAACAGAGGACAAGCATTGCAAACACAGTTATAGTTCATGACTCTCATACAGTGACGTGGAAGTGGAGCTCTTACCTGTTTGCTGTTGGGGTGCAGAGGGATCCGGAGCAGTCTGTCTGCAGTCTGGTGCAGAAAGTGGGGGTCCAGCACTCTGATTTTATTCATGTCACCCAACCAGATTTGGGGAGGGGGCTTCCAAAACCCTTTCCTGACCTGGAAAGCACACAAAAACAAAAGAGAAAGATAAGACACAGGATGTTGGGAAACAATAAATTGAAAAAAAGGACAGAAAGAGAGATATTGCTATTTTTTTAGTTACCACGGTTCATTTTGCACAAACAGAGATGCAATTGAACCTATGACTCCTTCATTTCTGGAGGCAAGCAAATTGATGTGCAAATTAGCAAGTAATGGCCCTGCAACTATTAGCACAAAGAGGCCGGAGGTGCCGGGAGCAACAGAGTGAAGGATGTCTGCGATGGAAACTACATTTAACTCTGAAGGGCACTGGCACCACTGAAGTTGAACCTCTTAAGTATTTTGTTCCTGATATGGATGGCTGGCAGCGGCTGGAAAAGAAGCTGACAGGAGAGTGTTTATGTGAGACAGAGAGGGAGAAACAGAAAGTGAGACAGAGTGAGATGGAAAGTGTGTGTGTGTGTGTGTTTGTGTGAGAGAGAAAGTGCATTCTCACACATATCCTGTACCCTCTTCTCATTATAGAGGATCTCTTTGAGCCAGCGGAGATCTTGCTGCTTGAAAGGCACCAGGACCATAAGCGTGCCAGGCTCGTTGTGCAGTCCAGGGTTGTAAGAGGCCGACTCGGGGTAGAATAACCTCATGGTGGTCTTGTTTCCTACATCCTCCTCATAGCCCCTCACTGGGGCATCATTCAACCTGAGACAGGGACACGATACTATATTCAGAGACAAGAATTTTCAGGTTTGTTTTATTGGTGGGGGAAAATTGGTGGCCACCCACATGACCTGAGAAATGTACTGCTCTAAACTAACTTTTAGCTAATTGGTAAAAACAGTATGTCGTGTGATAGACTCTATATGATTTAATCAGTTGTATTTTTATGGGAGCTGTAGTTTTTTGCTAACAAAGTAATTGTTGCCTTAGAATATGAAGTGTGAATTGCCGGAACATGCTTCAATTTTCAGAGAGAGTGATAAAAGAAATGCTCAATAACAGCAGATGAGTAACAGGAGCTATACTGGAACATTGGGTGGACCTTGCTGTCAGGATTATGTTATTGCAGAGATAAATATGTGCAAGTCGATTGTGGTGTCAAGGCGGCCTGTTGATGTACAACGTGTACCATTAAATTAACCAGGACGTTTTTGAGGTTCTTCTTTTCCTTCTAAATATTTCACTTTTCAGAGTCAACTTTCCGCAAAATGATACAGTAAAAAAAAAAAGGAAAGCTGCCCGAAAATAGGACAACTAGCTCACAGTAGTGTTCAGGGCTTAAAACAAATATTCTGCAAACCACATCATAACTCATTCCTTGATGAAATAAGTAACACAACAGCGCAGACTGAGATCTTGTTTTAGTAAATGGCTACTCTGCACTTTGGAAACTTAAGTCTCGACACGCTTGAACAGAGTCTAGCGGTGTTTCAATGATAGAACCGGCCCAGTGACGTCAAACTCTCAGGCATGCATCGAATTCTGACTGTCAATAACCTTATTCTACTTGGCCATGGAACGATTAGCTTTAAGAGAGGGAGAGATGTGAGTGAGGGGAGGGGGGGGGGTATGGTGGGGAGAGAAAGAAAAATGCATTGTGACCAGGCCAAAGTCTGGCTGTTTGAGAGAGGCTTATAAAAACTCAGAATGCATGTGTTCATTCCAAGGCTGTAAAGTCAGATTTGCAGAGTGCCTTTGTCCCTGAGTAAACGAAATGCTCTCTATTCTCCTTTTAAAGGCACTAAAGAATAGTTTGCTAATTGCTGGGAGGACGGCTCTATGTCAGGTTCAGGCGGTCACTCAGTCGGATACTGTCCATTAATAGTGAACGGCCGAGTGAATTTACAACCTGCTTTCAGTGGTGGGGAAAACCATCCAAATTCCCTTTTCAAGGTCATCTAGCAAAAATCCGTCTGTTTCTGATTAATCAGTCCTAACGATCCTGAAACACGATGGTAGTTATGAAGAGGTCTTGGGTTTAAAAATGTTATTATCGCTGCTGATGGGTCACAATGTGCAAGAATTTTAAATGTAGTACAGTCACCTCCTAAAAATGCAAAGCTTGGAGTGGAATCAAAAAGCAGCAAAGCAAGTTTACCAAACTTTTTAATCCCAATTGATTCCTCTTCTCCACGAACAGCAGCATGAACAAAACAGTTAACAGTAATAATAGTAACTGAAGGTCACAGCACTAACAGCAATACCTTTATGAGGTGTTCCTTTTTGTGCTTACCGAATGACCACGTCATATTTGTTGATGATGCTTCCCAAGGAGGTGTTTTTAATGGCAAAGCCATTGCCGATGACTACGCAGGTTCTGCATTCAAGGCTGTGGAGAAAAACACCACAAACAAACATGAGTGTTTTCAGGTTTTGTGCAACTAGACACAAAACGTCACCCTCTCCAGAGACAACTGACAGCACATTCATCACTCGAGCAATAGCACCTGAGGTCGCTTTGTTGACCATAATGAGGGACAGTCATGTGGCCATAAGTACCCATAATCACTGTGATGATGTCATGCAGGAAAGAAAATGTAATACAGGACGTGTACCACAGCTGGAAAACATTGTCCACCAATTGCAATGTTTTCAAAAATATTCTTGTTGTAGTGTGACTTATTAGATATATGTTGGCGTCGATGCTGGACTTTTATTATTATTATTATAACTATTACTGTACTGCACTATGGACTAAAAACAGAAGAAAGCTGGGTTATTAAAATGTTGAGCGTTAGCATCATGAGCATCAGCCAGGTTGGCTGAAGTGTGCTCACACTTACTTTTCGATGTTGGCTGGCACCTGATAATTAGCAATTACAGCAAGAACTTTCAGTAGCAGAAGCTCTGGGAGGGAAAGTGAAAAAAAAGGAGAGGTTTAAATAGTGTGATTGTTTCAAAACTTTGAATGCAGATGTGCAAAAAACGCACACAAAGACTGCTGTGTAGTGCTAAAGCATCACTGTCAGGCAGGGTCATGAATTCAGACACAGAATATAGAGAGGATGTTTGTGTTTTTAGCTCTGTGAACCTGACCTAATGTAAAAAATAAATGAATATATGGAAAAAAGTGCAAAACACCTTCGTACAACAACCAGTAACACCAGGATGTGAGACACGTGCTGAGTAAACTGAGCAGAAAGAGCAGAGGATTATGTAAAGTCAGCATACCACTGCCCTTAATGCCATAAGGTAATGCCAGCTTTGACAGATGCTCCCGCCAGAAGAAGTCCTCCAGTTTCAGAAAGAGCTGCGTATGTCTGCTAATGCTGCATGAAAAATATCAGAGCAGGAGTTACAACACAACACTGCAGTGCGCAGGGCTTCACTGTATAGATGACTTATATTACAGGAGGGCTTGTGGCTGAGAGAGAGCGGGCGGGATATGAATGAGGCGTCACACAGCGAGGATGGAGAAAACTACTTTCAACTTTTTTGGCTATAAAAACTATCAAAACCACACAATGGACAGCACCAAATGTGCTGCCAAACAGTACAGTGTTCATATTGGCGCATGGAAAAGCTTGTCTTAACTTTCCCAAATGTTCTGGTATCTATTAAGCCGGTAAACCAGACCATTATTAGTAAACCAGCCATTTACATGATGTCATTCAATAGCAATTCCCCTCATTAAGACACCCTGTTGGCATTTATCTGCTGAGGAGAGGGAAATAAAAACACCAACATCCACCGTGCCTGTGGAGTGAGACAATTGCTGCAGCTTGTAGTGCAGACTGTGAAACAGTTACTTTTCTGTGTTCGCTGGCTTCAGCCCCCAGCTGTTTATGACCTACTGTCTTTGACACTGAGTCTCTCAGACATTTACCTCCCTCGTGTGCCAGCTAGCTCTTCACAGGAGATCAGGATAAATCTCCGGGGAGCGGTCTAATTAGAGAAATGTCACTCTGATTGCCTCTCTGTGACTGTAATGACCTGATGTGACAGACAACCAGCCAGAGACTTTACTTGACAATGCAAATCATCTTCTTTACACAGGGATTAGGAATATTGACTGTTTAAAAGGTCAAAGGGCAGGCAGTGGAAGGTCCACTGAGCTAAAGAAATAAACAGTGACCTTTGAGGAGTTTCGGACAAACAGATGGAGATCATATCACTGTTTTGTAACTGAAGCGAGCCTGATAGAAGACCAACAGTAAATATACAGCTGAGTAAACTGATAATAGAGCAAGAGAAAATAAATGAGAGGGGGCTAAGGGCTGTGGAACAACGATTGCCTAACAAAGCACAACCTGAGGAGGACAAACAAGCCATTGGCTGGCTTCAAACAATGCAACTTTATCGAGAATTAATTCTTAGCCAAAATTGGTTTCATTCCAACTCCCCCTCTCAAACATTTCATCAACACATTCCCCTTGAGTTGCTTCAACTTGCATGATTTAGATGGAAAATCGTTTTTCATTTAATGCCCTGTTCTTTCTCACTGAAATATGCTTTTCCTTCATGACTGGTAAAGACCAGTCCTAGCAGTTGCAAGAAGCCTGGCACCTTATGTTCAAATACAAATACTGGCATACCTTCCTCCCTTAATCAGCCATCCACTCCCTCCAGCTTGTAGAAAAAACACAGACGTGCCATTACTCACTTAAAGTTAAGGCTCTCCCACTTCTTCTGGGTTAGCCAGCCACCACACAGCGACTTGCTACTGTTCGGAGACTTGCTGGTGCCTCCGTAGCTGAAAGACAGACAATCACCACAACTGCCATGAAAGTTACAGCCTGAATCCATAAAAACGCAGCGGGCCAGTAACTGGGTCCAGAACAAGAATGGGCATGTGTGAGGGCCTAAATTGACGAGCAGCTCAGACTGCCAGATGATCAGAATGTGGGTTGTCCTCTTAACTTTTAGTGACTCAGTGCAACACGGGCCTCATGAGCTGACTTTTTAACCAGAAAGAGACACTTCTGCAATTGTGTTACCTCAATACCAAGTGGAACGGAGAAAGAAAGAAATGGTTGTGTGTAGTTACCTCTGAAGTATGGCATAGGAGCAGTAGTATGTGACAAAGGAGATGAAGAAGAGGAGGATTGGGAGAAGCCTAAGGCACCATGCTGGAAATCAAAGAATAAAAAACAGAGGCAAACGTACACGTATTAAAAAAAATGGATTACCAAATTTCACATACAACACATACTGGCTTCAAGGTCTTCACAAATAAAAGTAATATGTCTTCATAAATATTTAGATTAAAATATCAACCATATAATTATATTATATTATATTATATTATAAATATTATTATTTTTTCATGGAAAAGGGTACTGCTCAAGAGTTGGCATCCCATTTAACGCAGGTGCTCTATCAGTATCAGATTGGGAAGTGAAAACTGAAACTGAAATGAATTTACATCAAGTGCCACTTGCTATTCAGAGATGACCACACTTCTACAGGAAACACTCCACCCAGTATGGTCTCAATTTAATAGCAGAGAGTGAAACTCACAAATTAAGAAGAATCGTTTTACTTTAAAGGAATAGCCTTATGAAACAGCTAGACACCCGTCAATTATTTTAAAAATACATAAAAAGGAAAATGGCAGGAAATGAAATTGTCATCAAGACACTCATCTTTATTTTTTTCAATTTATGTAGTATGCACACTCTATGAGGTTTCTATGCTTGGGTGATGGATATTTTTAGTTGAACATTAGTGGTATGCTTTTGAATTTTGACAGGTCCGTATGAGAAGTACAAAAACCTGTATCCCCTCAATTCCTATCTATGTATGGAGACATGCCATGTACCAGCCTGCTTCAAGGCCAAACCAAGGATCACAGGACTTAATGACTACAGGCTCGTCAACCCTCACCGACCCACTCCTGGACACCCTGCAGTTCGCAGCTCGGCGGTTCGATCCTTGGCTGCTACATGTCCTATGCCGAAGTGTCCCTGAGCAAGACACTGAACACCTAACTGCTCCCCGGGCGCTTCTCAGCAGCAGTGAAGGGCCATGCTGTAGACAACATGGCCCTTTACTTCATCCTCCAGCACCTGGACTCCTCAGGAATCTACGTTAAGAACCTGTTTGTAGACTTCAATACCTCCATCCCGTCTCTGCTGCAGGATAAGCTCTCCAAGCTGCACATGCCCGACTCCCCCTGCAAGTGGATCCCAGACTTCCTGTCTGACAGGAAGCAGCACGTGAAGCTGGAGAAACATGTCTCAGCCTCTCGGACCATCAGTAATGGTTACCCCCAAGGCTGCATTCTTTCCCCTCTGCTCTTCTCCCTGTACACCAACAACTGCACCTTTAGTCAGCAGTTCATCAAGATCCTGAAGTTCGCGGATGACCCCACCCTCATTGGACTCATCTCTGGTGGGGATGAGTGACCTGGTGCAGACTTAACATCTTTGAGCTCAACGATCTAAAGACAGTGGAGATGATTGTGCCCCTATCACCCTGTGTGACTCCCTCGTCGACGCTGTGGAGTCCTTCCGCTTCCTGGGGCTCCACCATAACCCAGGACCTGAAATTGGAGCTTAACAACAGCTCCATCACAGCAGAGGATGTACTTCCTGATGCAGCTGAAGAAGTTCAACCTGCCAAAGACAATGATGGTGCACTTCTACACTGCCATCCTTGAGTCCATCCTCTTCTCCTCCTCCATCAGCGGCTGGTACGCTGCAGCCACTGCCAAGGACAAGGGCAGACTGCAGCGCATCATTCACTCTGCTGAGAGAGTGATTGGCTGCAATCTGCCGTCCCTCCATGACTTGTTTGCCTCCAGGATCCTGAGGCGGGCAAGAAAGATTGTAGCCGACCCCTCTCACCCTGGACACAAACTCTTTGAGTCCCTTCCCTCTGGTAGGAGGCTGCGGTCCATCACGACCAAGACCTTATGCCACAAAAACAGTTTCTTCCCATCTGCAGTCAACAAAGCCCGAGACCCACATTGACTCAGACATCCCTGAGACATCCCTGAGACAATTTCTTACAGTTACACACCCTTGCACGTCTTTTCTCTATTAATATACACTTGACACTTTAATAATATACATATTTTATCATACACCTATTTGTTTGATTGTTTACCATATTTTATTATTATTTATTATTATTATTTAGAAATTATTTCACATACTATTGTACTGTGTTTATTGTTATGCACCATCCGCCGAGCCAAATTCCTTGTTTGTGTAACGTACTTGGCAATAAACAGTTCTCTTTCAACCTGTTCGTCAATGCGTCACAATTTTCGTAAATATTTGAATTTGGGTATTCGCTGTCTTTCCAAGAGTTAGATGAGAAGATTGATGTGTACACAAAATATGAAGCTACAGCCAGCTGCTGGTTAGGTTAGCTTAGCTTAGCACAAAGACTGGTATAGGGGAAAAACAGCTAGTTTTGGCGAGTCCAGAGTTAGCAATGTTTAAACCGAACAAAAACCAAAGTGTAAAAACAAAATGGCAGTATTACAAGGGTTGTGTGGTGCCAGGCACAGTGACTTCCTGGAGTCTCTGCTGGTTGCCTAGAAACCTCACGGTGATCAAACTATTCCTTTAATGAGACAAGCTAAACAGCCGATACCAAGTACCAAGAAATTAACTGTAACTAGGACTGAGACAGACCATATTTCAAACACTCTATGGCACAACAAAATAAAGCAACCTCCGATGCCACCGCAGCTCTTTTGTTGAAAATGAATTACTGCAAAGGGCCTTTGTCTATGTAATGAAGGCAAGGACCCCCCCCCCTTTGAATCAAAGGAAAAAACAGACAGCTTTGGGTTTTCCCACAATAATTTAACATCTGGAGTAAACAAGACTTGGAATTCTTTAGAAGTGACTACATATTGTGTGGCTAGAGGCACAGCAACAACGCTGTTGGTGCAAACTGTAGTGGGGGTAGTTATCATTCTGCAATACAGTATGTTGATGTGCAGTAACACACTGATGGTTCGGGATTATTTCAAACAGTCTTAATATTCTGCTGATTTTAAAGGCAAAAAAAAAGTAACTTGTGGCACTGAGCACGGGCAACCCAATGATAATGAAATATACAATAGTGTTTGTAATGTTAAAGATTGGATAATTTTTCTGTGACAAAGTGCATTTTGGTCAATAATCCTATCATTGCATGAGAAATAACAGATCAGATTAGTGCATTAGTGAATATCAAGAGAGGGAAAGTCCCATTCAAATAATCAGAACAAAGCAACATCTGATAAAAGAATATTATAATAATAAAATACCCACAGCAGAAGAGCTTACCTTTAGTTGCCTTCTGGGACATCTTCACGTACTCCTTGGTCCTCTCATGTCTACACAGTGCATGTGGTTACCCTGGGTGATGGGTACAAAAAGGAAAAAGACATCAAACAGCTTTTAAATAGTTCCTCCTTTTAATTTGAATGGGGAACCATAATAACATGTCATATAATCATCCCACACCCTCACCATACAAATAAGATGCATTTATATAGCTCAGATGAGGATGGAGTAAACATAGGTGGCATAGAAAAGAGAGGGAGAGAATGAGAGAATGACAGAGAGAGAGAAGCTGAGAGAGAGAGCAAGAGAGAGAGAGAGAGAGAGAGAGAGAGAGAGAGAGAGAGAGAGA